AGTGAAAGTTGACTACGACCATTGACTTCATGTACATGTTCAAAATACTAAACAGGTTAAACTGACCTTTCACTTCAAAGTCAAGTTGGTTAATACCCATACATGTTCATCGTGTTCAGCACGATGGTTTCAACTTTCTAAACCACAACCATACACGTACAAATTGATATATTTATGTACTCTTGCATTGATACATCTCTTTAGTGGTGAAGTTCAATCAATCTTTATTCAGTACTTAAAACGGCTACATGCCTGTAGTACATTTAAAGTTTACACGAGTATAGTCTGTTTGCAGTGAAAACGTACCGATGAATTTCACTCTAAACAAAAAAGGTAAATCGAATAAAGTGAAATTAAGATTGCGAATCCTCATAATTTTACCTTGCCAATTGAACATTTAAATCTCAGAATTTTATTCAACTTAGGATAAAAGTTGTTTAACAAACGATCATAAATTCAAATCGCTATTATTGGTTTGTATTACAAGGGGGTGAGCGCAGTAGATTGAACAGTGAAACAAATGCACGTGCGGTACGTGATGAGCGTTAACTTAATTAAACCAACACTACTTGTTTTCGGTGTTTCATTTAAAGTGCATACCCCCTTGAAATGCAAACCAACAATAGCGATTTGAAACTATGATCGTTTGTTAAACAACTTTTATCCTAAGTTGAATAAAATTCTGAGATTTAAATGTTCATTTGGCAAGGTAAAATTATGAGGATTCGCAATACAGTCGTAAGTTAGAAATATATACGTCGCTTGAGACAGAACCCAATAACAGATCAATAAAAATTGGGGGGAGTTACCGAACTGTATTTACCGATAATTTTCCAATCATAATATTCATGAGAACTGGGACGGATATAGGATTAACGAATTAAAACGATGGGTTGAAACAGGTGATCAGGATCAGGCCAGGCTCGAACCATATAAAAAGATAGGTTTGGCACTGAGCGAGGGGTCCGCGCTTTTAAGTGACCGAAGCCAGTCCACTTCACTCAGTTGCCTGTGTGGTACGAGCTTATCCTGTCTGTAGATGAAGTTGTAGTTAGAGATGGACTGAGACAGAGTAAAAACTATTTGAGTATAAACTTGGTGTTGCGTTTATCTATGAATGTATGTGTGCCAGTACATGAATGTTATGTGGCTAGTTGGGAGTCACGGTCGTCCGACCCCTCACTCCTGGACCATCTCCCCGAGCAATGTGGAACGACCATAATTAATAGGTAACTGGGTAGGGTTTACTGAAGCCCAAACGCCAGTTACGACAATATTACATAATTGACATATTCTGTTTTCTCTTTGTATATCTGCCAGTTTAATAAAATAATTCATGGGAAGAAAACGAGAGAGAGAGAGAGAGAGATATTCGAAACTTTTTTTACGTCGATTTTTGCTAAATAGTCCTCAAAACGTCTATCCGATTTCTATTGATTATAATATAAACATTTTGTTTATTGAAGTAATGATTCCGACCCAGATTGAAAATACATATATTACATTTCTTTCTTTGTGCAAATGATATGATAAAGTGTGCATGGGACTGAACCGTGTGATCACACCACACATAACCATAACCTGTTTTGTACAACAACTCTCTAATATCAGTCACCCAATTTCGTTTCCCATTTTCGTGATACAATTTCATCATATCATAACCTTTTTTCGGAAACCTATGGCATGGCATATGCAGTAATCAGAACAGAACAGAACATTTTATTCTCTAAAAATCCACCCACGGTGGTACATGAGAATATAATGATATACAATTTAACATAAATATACAATCAAGATGGCGGATGATAGAATACTTAGATAGAGTATTACATGTATTATCACAATTCGTTACAATTTCAGGGCAATCTTACCCAATACTTTATGGCTTTAAAGGAGGAATATATAAACCATGGAAATCCACCTAATTGTCCGGAAACCATAATATTACATGTGTTCGGTTTTACACCAAGAAACCTTTTGCATGCATATAAATGAACTCTTTGGATACTATCATATTGCTGTAATCAGTGTATAAAATAGTTTTGAAATGTGGCCTGTCCAAGGACTGGTTGTCCAAAAAAGTGACTAGTCCTGAACAAACACAGCCAGTCCCAAAAACTAAAACAATAAAAAATCAACTAATGTTGAAAGAAGAACGAGAAAGAGAATGATTGCTAAGACGAAGTTCAAACCAAGATAAGTTTATTTTTTCAAATATTTCCCCGACCAAAGGACGACCGTCCTTCACATAAATAGACCGTCAAGGACGGTGGGACGGGCTATGTGTTATACACTGCTGTAATCCCCATATATCAGAACTATATAGAAGTATTGGGCTTATCTTCATATCGAATATTTTAAATAATGTGTTAAAGGACATTTCACCTAAAGATCTCATATCTTTACAAACACCGATTATAACTTTGAAGGATTGTACTGACCCTTGTTTCGTGTGTTTGGACCAGGAAAGGTTATGAAGAAGCTGTGAATGTTAACGTGTATTCTGGTAAACATGGGTGACAGGAAGTACAATGAAATATGCAATTCCTATAGTACACTGGAGGTGAGCAAACCGTTGCTTGACTCAATGGCTAAACATGGATGGAAGGGTAGCCTACCGCACCTGAATGTGTGCCTCTCCAAGCTGCCGTATACGTGTAAAGTAATTATACTCCAACTATCCAGTTCTATATTGCCCTATACTTGTGCTCGTCCAGAGCAGTACAGAGAATAATAATAATATTTTATTCAAGTGTCTAGCGTGTATACATATAAAAATTAAACCATAATAACACATACATCACATTGTTAGACAACGCCCGGCCAACAAAGGCCTATTTGACACCATGTTACCGTTAAATGGTCAATAATAGTAAAAGCAGAGTTGTGCTAGAATAGTACTAATATCATACATTGAAAGTAGAGGCAGGGAGCGCTAACTAGATTGTTCGATCGGTGGCATAAAAGAGAAATTCTGATTGAAAGATGACGCGTGATTCCGAACATACGTATTTTTGCTATGGAGACACGGATACCGACTACTGTGACACTCCATCTACGTGGCAGGCGATATGCGTACATGCAAGTTTAGTTGAAGGTGGAAACTCTCTCTGTGACACTGACGATTTAGCACATTATCACCAGTGAAGACAATGACGGTAATACTTAATCGCGCTTAATGATAACGCTCTAATCGTCATGACATAATCCCAAAATGTTCCTCACACCCACGGTTAGCAACGCCATAACCCATGGGCGCCTCAAGTCGTCACCCCCGGTGTTTCTGCTCCCACCCCAGAGCGTGCCCACCATGTCCTGCTCAGGGGGGCACGCTTCGAAGCGCCAATGGTCACTGGATCAATATTGACGTTGAACAACGTCAATATTGATCCAGTGACCCTTGTCGGTGTGATAAGCGATGAACGGTAGTATCGACCATCATGTAAATGTATAAGACGAGCATATGGATGGCAACTTCTTCGTTATTGTATAACACAACGTTTCTGGGCTACTTCTTGCCCCTTCTTCAGGTGATTAAAGACATATGTAGAAAACATACTATATATACCAGATTTACAGGAAGCCAGAGATGTACATGTATATACAATCAATCACAGAGGACATATAAAAAGGAAGTTATAAAAACAATGATAATAGGGATAAGGTAAAAACAGTTGACACAAACAATGGGGGTAAGGAGATGTGAACACAGCAGAGTGAAAATCATTTAATTATAATTTATAGGAAGTGTTAATATATTTTGACAAAAACAACATTTGTATTACGGCTATTTAGGTTGATATTTGTATACATTAGTTGTCTATGGGGCTTATGGGTATTTGAATGAAACAGTAAACATGCATTGTCCATCTGTTCAAAGTGTGGATCCACTGGAAATTTAATTCTACCTATATACATTACGTTTCTGGATATTAGAACTCGATCGTGATAGTTCTCAACTAGTTTGGTCAACCAAGATAGCCAGTACACGTACGTTACAACATTTTGCACGAGGTCCACGGTTCTTTAAAACAAAGTGTGTCGGACAACAATGACATCTCAATCCTATGAAAAAAGGACGTTGTTTTTAACACGGTCACTAAAATACGACAGGTGTATTCTGCCTTCGTTAATACAACTAAACACACCAACAGTAACTATTGACAAATCAACTGTGCAAAATAACAGTGATTAATCAATCAACGTATTATCAGTTAATCATTTCATCGAAGTTTTATGAAGCAAATGATAATTCCTCTCGCTCCCTGCGCTTCCACAAGGATCTTACATAACATGTAATACTTCTGCCACATCAGACCTGAAGGCTGAATGTATACGAGATATGCCAAATGGGAACTTTTCTCAGGTAAACTGAGTGGTGTTAGATAAGTAACCTTTACCGGTTATAAATTGATTAACTGAGCATCACTTGAATGGTGGCAAATAGATATACCACAAGTGTATACCACCAAACATGATGGGTGACAACAATGAGGTGCTATTCGTTCTATTGCATGCTATTTAGTTGCCTATAAAACGGAATGGTCGTTGCTGTCTTGATGATACAAACTTATTGTTGCTTTTATAAAGCATAAATAATGCTGTACATTTTCTGTACACAAAGTTGATAATTGTACATATATGTTAACGTGAGTGGATTTATAAATTATAGTTGCCCCTACAGATTTTTGCTTCCGTGCGTCCCTGTAAGAAATTTCGATCGATTGAAGCGTTTAAAATTGTGTCCAGTGCCAAACTTGCAAACCTCTACTGTACACCTTTTGAGGACTGGACTAAGTTTAACAGCTGGCAGGTTTTCTTTCAAGCGTATTGCTGTGTTCCAAACATTTTCAACCTCGTTACTATACTGATATCAAGCTATGCAGCGACATGTCGATGAATATGTATTTTCTTGTGTCCTTTCGTCGAGCGTGTCATGTGCGGGGTTTCGCACTTTGCACAACTACTCAATAATACATTGCAGAGTTGCCTCCCTTACATAGGACAGCATGTTGCCGGAAGAGGGTCAGCTGGATCGTTGTGATGTTATGTTTCATGGGTTTCACTGACAGATGACACATGTATGCGAAAACAAGAGGCATTTCTTCACCTATTGTAAACAGAACATGCTCAGGTAAAGTGTCCGTGTTACGTGCCTACCGCATGTGCCCGAATCCCTCTTCACAATTAAACTATCGAGGGTAGTGTTGCAGTCACCGAGTTGTACTCAGTAGGTGTTTGGTTGTAAATCAGAAAATACAAACATGGTCAGCTATCGATGGTCATCAGTAGAGGGGACACTGCGGTCATATATGAGACGGAAACTGGGTGTGAACTCAAGGGTAGGACTAGAGCAGGGTTTTACTTCGACTCACAAAAATATTTGTTAGTATCAATGTGAAGTAATGGTGTACAGTAGAGAACTGAAGAATATAATATCAAAGTTGTTTAAAAATATGGCATGAGTTTAATCATTTTAAATACATTGGGGCATTTTGACTACCTCCCTGTGGCAATTTGACCAAATTTGCTGGGGCATTTTGTAGCTGGCAATTCGACTGGTACCCCCAGTAAAGCTGATGAGGGGTCACTCTTGACCCGAGTGACATCGAATTATACCTTGAGTACAATCAGATACATCAAATTGTACTCTGAGTTTTATGTCTAGGCTTGTCTTTTTGTAACCAGCTTCTCTCTTCTAGTTGACTGAGCAGAGACAATGGAATCTGAGATAACAGGGTTACTTGATGCTAGTTTCATGACGATTCCTTGTTACATGGACAATATGGACAAAACATGTATTGTCATGAACTAGCGCTGTAGCAGTGAGCAAGCCCTTGGTATAGAGTATAGCTGGTCATAAGAAGATATAAACTTCAAACATAATCTGATATAGTTAATGGTATCCCAGGTACCTGTTGCTGGTAACCAGGTTGATGAGACCCGTGAAGATCTAGGTTGGAATTGATCTTCAGTAACTCATGCTTGTCGTAAGAGGCGATGGACGGTTTCAGGTGGTCAGGCTCGCTGACTTTGTTCACACATGTCATCGTATTCCAATTGTGTAGATCGATGCTCGTGCACTTGATCACTGGATTGTCTGGTCCAGACTCGATTTTTGCAGACCGTTGCCATATAGCTGGAATATTGCTGAGTACAGCAAAAACCTAAACTCACTCACTCACTCTCCAGGTTGAGGATAAATAGAGAATCTCACCCGAGTGTCTTTTGATATCAAATATATCACCACGAGTTGATAAAGTAACAAATATCCGAGGCTTGCCGAGGATATTTTTACTTTTATCAACAAGTGTTGATATATTTGATATCAGAAGACACAAGGGTGAGATTCTATTTATCATCAAAAATCACTCTTCATTAGTTTTCAATGAAAAATGTACATCTCTGAACACAGTACTGCCATTAGATTTGCAGTGCAGTGATGTCATAACATTGTGACGTCAACAAGTTCATGATGTCATATGGGCACAATGTGTTAAGCTCATTTCTGGTGTCCCCCGCCGTGATATTGCTGGAATATTGCTAAAAGCGGCGTAAAACTAAACTCAGTCAGTCAGTCATGATGTCATAGCATTGTCAGGGCATTGTACAAAATCTACTGTCCAAACGATATATCCTAGGAGATATCGTCTGATCTCACACAAGTGAAATCTACTGTGGAACACAGTTTTGGATGATAAACCTATCAGTTGCAATAAGTCTCGAACTGAGCATCTAGGTTTGTGATGCCAGACATTTTTGTTTCTGGTGGAGAGGTCACAGACAACGGTACATACAAGTACTGTCTGAAGTGACAAAATCAGATTTTTATGAGATTAAACCGGTGTGAATGCAGTTTCCAACTAAGTAAGCGCTCATTGATCTACTATTGATTGCTATGGGGTCTCAACAGACGTATAATCTAGGATAGGAAAACCAGATGAAGATAAGAATACAGGACAGTTTATTTGTAAGAATGTCAAGGTGAGGGTTACGTCACTTGTTTAGTGATATCAACGTATTTATAACATGGTGCCACTCTTGTAACATATATATTCTGACCTTTGCAGGTAATGGCTGAATTTACACGGTCATCGTCTGCCACATCAACTCCATCGGGCCCGAAAGAAGAGACACTTCTTGAAAACTATTTCCTTCTGCTCAGCCAGTTTGCCTATGATAAGGCCAAGGAACTCACTGTATGTTTAAGTCCACTGATTTGTGTATCCTACTGTCTCAAAATCCAATACTCAACGTATATAATCTTCTTCAGCTATCTTAATACAGTCAGAAGATGGCTTTGTAAAATAGGCCTCGACTTCAAAACACTCTGCTCATTTAATCAAGGAATGTACAGATGCAAAGTGCAGAACGATTGAGAAAGTGAGTTTATTTTACGCCGCTTTTAACAATAATTCAGCAATATCACGGCGGGGGACACCAGAAATGGGCTTCACACATTGTACCCTTGTGGGGAATTGAACCTGCGTCTTCAGTGTTACGAGTGAATGCTTTAACCACAAGGCTACCCCATCGCCCTGCAAAGTGGAGTTATAAGAGTTATGAGATAAGTCTATATGCACTCTATGGAGTGCAGTAGGTATCACATTACTTGCTGTAATGCACTGCTATAGAGCTTGTGAATATTTTTCCGGTAGCTGATATGCCATGTCTGTTTGACCCAGATTTCGACAGGCCATTTCATGTAAAATGTTTCAGGCTACAGTATTTAATTGTGTTAAGGCCATCAGATCACTCTGCTGAGTTTCAGATACTGCTGCAGGTTATGCAAGGTATGACCACCACATAATGACGACTAAATGAGATATTTTGAGGGACCAAATCTTTACTCTGACACAACCGTAAATTTGACACTTTAAAGTTTGACACAACAGTGTTTGACTGTGATTCAGTTTTAAGGACCATCCTGAGAAGACCTGTCTGGAGCTGACGTAATAGAAGGACTTCTGTTTTAGGTGTAGTTACCTTGCGACAATCTACAGCAGTAGACTTGCACTTGTTACCATGGTATAGAGGAGGCTATTTCTGGGTGTTTCAGGAGAAGGATAAAGATGTGCACAAGCTGTCCGCAGCTGCCTCCTGGGGCACCATCATCCAATGTCTGTCTCAGCTGGCCGCGGCAGAGAAGATGTACATGTCCCTCACCTTCCTCGGACAAAAGAGGTTTAATCCCATTGGACGAGCCAGAGAGGTATGCTGTGTCTACGCATTCTAATACTTGATAATATCCTAATGAGAGTGAAGCAAAACAATATTTGGCTTTATGATACATGGGATACATCATCTTTAAAAGCATCCCAAGAAATACTATATATCAGTAAACAATATAATCTATACTACACAAACAAAGTCAAGGAACATCCAATTCAGTGCCATTTAAATACAGGTTCAATATCATAATAAGAAAGAATTTGATGTTCTTTAACTTTTTTTGAGTAGTATATTCATTGGGTAATTGAAATAATACACTTTGCTATAATCATTTTGAACATACTGTTAAACTGAGATAACACATTGCTGCCCTGGGGAGATACTGCGTCAGAATTTGTCTTCAGTAACTGTTGCTAGTTGTAAGAGGCCATTACATGATCGGTTGGTCGGACTTGGTTCATGCATTTCATTGTATCCCAACTGTGTAGATCTATCACTGGATCTAGGCCAGATGTAGTATTATACTCACTGCTGCCATATAGCTGTGATATTGCCAGTGTGTGAAATAACCACTGGCCCGCTAGCATCTGGCTAGTAAAAACCCAGTCGGGCTAGTAAATCTCCCCAGTTACTGGCCCGACTGGATGGTGAATTTTGATGTGGTCATTTTGTAAATATACTACAAAAAAAAAAAAGGGAACACCCTAAAATTTGATAGTCGTATATAAACTGAAACGTGGTGAGGTCATTTATACACTAAGGTAAATGCAACTTTTTGTGTGCTTAATATGCACTTTAAACGACATGTTGGAACATGCAGTGAAGCAACTGATTCAATATTCGTTGAGTTTGAGTGAAATGAAGCATTGTTAAAAACAGCGAAAAACAAGGATGCTGAAACACACCAGCACCATGTTTGATTCAAACCCCCAAACACAACAGCCTAGTGCTAGTTTTGTTTTGTTTTCGTTTGTATTCTCCTTTAAGCATTTCTTTGTGCAGAACCTGCGTTGTTTTTGTTATCTCTTTACCTAAATGAACAATTACCAGTTCTTGGGTCAGGAGTTCCAGCGCATTGACAGCTTGTCTCAGACCCCAGTGACTGCTCGCTCGGACCTGGAGGTTCTCTTGGCACACCTCAGTGGTCAGCTGAGTCACTACCTCACTGCCAGACAGAGACTCATGGATCTGTATCCTTCCAACTCTTCTATCAGTCTATCGACGATAACTACAAATTTATGTCTACTTTAGGACAAATGTATCTATGACATAACCTACAGATTAAATGCCATGTTTCAAAATTTGACATCATGCTTGTGCCAATTTGTTATGTTTTAAAATTCAATGCTTAAGCATCAGTTGTTTTTTGTTATCTCTTTACCTAAATGTTAAATTATGTGATTATGAACATGACCATAACTGGAGCTGTTGTAGTGGTAGACCTGTTTAACATCAATATAGTGAAGAAATCTACAATTTGTGTCTGTTTGTTTGTTAGTATTACAAGATTGTGTTGTCCATTTAACGAAACAAGATATGAGCAGATCTCTTCTGTTGCCGTGCACAGGAATGTGAGTTTTGATGACCTGGTTACCATGGTTACTGACATCATACAGGCTCACAGTCGGGGGTTCCATCATCCACTCCTCAGCCCTCTCAAGTCCAGCTTCAGGTAGAGATTGAACCATTGTTCTCACCCTTGAGTAGGCTGATGGGGTAGCCTTGTAGTTAAAGCATTTGCTTATCATGCTGAAGAACAGAGTTCGATTCCCCACATGGGTACACTGTGTGCAGGTAATTTCTGTTGTCCCCACCATGCTGGAATATTGCTAAAACAGCATGAAGCCTTACTCACTCATCCCTGAGTAAGTGAGCACTGCTTACAAGAGTACAGAATACCAGCGTCACAACACTGCAATGGCATTGATGGCTCCTGATACCAGACAGCTGGTATTGCCATGTGTTGTGTTGCCAGCCTGGAGTGTGGTGTTGACTTGTGTCCTTGTGTTGCCAGCCTGGAGTGTGGTGTTGACTTGTGTCCTTGTGTTGCCAGCCTGGAGTGTGGTGTTGACTTGTGTCCTTGTGTTGCCAGCCTGGAGTGTGGTGTTGACTTGTGTCCTTGTGTTGCCAGCCTGGAGTGTGGTGTTGACTTGTGGCCTTGTGTTGCCAGCCTGGAGTGTGGCGTTGATAGTTGTCCATGTGTTGCCAGCCTGGAGTGTGGTGTTGACTTGTGTCCTTGTGTTGCCAGCCTGGAGTGTGGTGTTGACTTGTGTCCTTGTGTTGCCAGCCTGGAGTGTGGTGTTGACTTGTGGCCTTGTGTTGCCAGCCTGGAGTGTGGCGTTGATAGTTGTCCTTGTGTTGCCAGCCTGGAGTGTGGTGTTGACTTGTGGCCTTGTGTTGCCAGTCTGGAGTGTGGCGTTGATAGTTGTCCATGTGTTGCCAGCCTGGAGGGTGGTGTTGACTTGTGTCCTTGTGTTGCCAGCCTGGAGTGTGATGTGATGCGCCACCTACTACAGGCCCAGATACTCATGTCAGAGTGGCAGTGTCTCCCCTCCCTGCTGCAGTTAAACCAGGCCCACACCAAGCTGGCTAGCTGGGCCAACATGGCGGCCATCAAAGAGGTGAGTTGTGGGTGACCAATGTTTCCAGTATGGCCAGGTAGCTATATCATCTTTGCAGCAGCATAGTTCATTGCACTTAAAACACTACAAGTACTTTCACATCTGTATCAGCTTGTCTTCATCAATCTTGTAGCAGTCTGTTAGTAACATATCACCTCTCTGGCATAGATGCATAGTGTTTACAACTCTGACATATTCCTGATTGTAGTAAGCATGGTAGGGATGAGAGCAGAAGGATGCTTGTATGATTATATACTGTAACTGCCTGTCATGTTCATAATCCCTGTCATTTTGTTCAGCCTGCGTCCAAGGATAAGCCTACACCGGTAAGCTTGATGGTAGAAACATTGCTGTCACTTGTAGGCTGGGGAACAAGTTGCTTTGTAGTCTGTGTGATGTGTCATCTCTTTCTTATCTTTGGAATTAATTCTGTGTGGCTTTTATATGTTGTGTGTAACCAATGGTTTCACAATCTGTATACTGGAAATGGAAGGTTTCGTGTGCTAATATCACTAACATCAGGAGGTTGCTGAACATGATGTCAGCGACAGGCAGGAGCGGTGGGGTAGCCTAGTGGTTAAAGCATTCGCTTGTCACTCCGATGACTCATGTTTGATTCCCCACATGGGTACAATATGTGAAGCCCATTTCTGGTGTCCCCGCCGATGATATTGCTGGAACAATGCTATAAGTGGCGTAAAAGTAAACTCACTCACCCATTCACCGCTCAAACTCCAAACCATGTTAGCATAGTCAGTGATCTGATTCCGCCAGTGTCGATTAAAATAGGGCCCCAGCATATGAATGTGTCATCAGAGACAACCTGGTTCCCCTGGTGTCATTGATTCCTCAGGGGTGGGACATTGTACATGATAGAGTTCACTGGTGTGTCTGGTCGAAGCACAGTTTCTCTAAGTGATACAACTGCTGTTGACAACAGCACAAATGGTTTTTAACATCTCTATCACACAAAGTACAATACATCAATGCAGTGTGTTGGATCCCTGGCTACTCACACATCCGTAGGCATCTTGAACTGTTCTGTATATTGGCAGAGGTACAGATAAGCTGCGTATCTGCATAAATTACGCAAATATTTATGTGAAAACTCAATTCCTATTAAGTCTATTGTGTACAAGTACGCTTGAATATTTGTAAATACTCAATAAATGTGATCTTACATGCGTACACACAAAAATGTCAAATCTTAGCTTGCGTACCGGTGGATAGATAAAATAACAAGTATATTGAGACGTTCTATTTCAGGACATGAACATGACAACTTGCAGTCTTTCTTATCGTTTCTCATATTACAGATCAAATATAAATAACAAGCATTAACATTTAGACTTTACTATATTTTCAAATTTAATGGAAAATGGCAAAATACCCAATTGAGTTTGAGTGAGTTGAGTACAATATATTTGGTTACTCAAAGAAAAATTAGGATACCCAATTGAGATGAACACAAGTGAGTACTTAACTCAATTACCCAAACAGTTATCTGTAGCTCTGTTTTGGTTTTAGGTGCTAAGATATTCTTCAAATCACATTTCACTACCCAGCTATGTTTTCAGTGTTCATCATGATGTTGTGGTCATTATATGTGAATGGAAATATATGCTGGACAGAAACTACCCCTTCCCCCTTTAAGCCTTGCTGGAGTGCTGAAGTCAAACTGTTTCATTCCCATCAGCACCATACAGGTTGTATGTTACATGAAACACACCAAAAAGTTCAGATAGTTGGCAGTGCAAATTTGTGTAAATCAGTAAATCACACTACTACTCAGGAACAGACTTGCTGATATTTTGTATATGCACCTTAAAGGAAGATCACTTGTTTTATATATATTAACACAGATGACATAGATAGTACACATATAAAAATGGGTGGTTCTCAACACAGTTTCATTAGAGTCAGTGAGTGAGTTTAGTTTTACACCGTACTCAGCAATAGTCCAGCTATATGAGGGCGGTCTGTAAATAATCTAGTCTGGACCAGACAAGCCAGTGATCAGCATCTTGAGCATCGATCTACGCAATTAGGATATGATGACATGTGTCAATCAAGTCAGCGAGCCTAACCATCCGATCCCCAGTTTGATAAGAACAGATATCACCTGTAGATATGACTTGGTCTTCAGTAAATGATTTTATAACATTTTGTAATATTTAAAACCTAGTACCGGGGTAAGTGTGTGACAGATGAGGGAATAATCAGATTAAATACTCATGTTATTGTAAGAACAAAGAAAACAATATGATGACAAAGGATTTCTTCTTTGTTCATAAAGTCCTTCCATGTGGATATGTTTGCTGTAAGAATTAAAACTGCTTTTCATCCTTTTATCTGTCAGTTCAGTTCAGTTTATTCTACCATTGTATGCTTCAAGTATGATTTACCTGAGTTAGAATTCTAAATGTGTTGTGCATGATTGTCTGCTTATATACTAAGTCTGAGCAATTTCATCAAGTATCTTAATGTTTGTACAGCTGAGTAATCGTGTAGTATGTGACTGAGTTAGGCTTCGACATTACCAATTCGAGTGGTATGTCAGTGTTGTCAGTTCTGCTGTGGGAGGACAGCCTGAATGATGCATGTTTTATCCTGAAGATAGATGTGGTGCTGAATCCATGAGACATTGTCACATGGAATAGAATACTACTGCTGGTGGCCTTGTTCGCTGCCAAACTGTGGTAACTGTGTTGGGTGGATCAGTGATTCAAATAGTGATGGCAGATGTTGTTTTCAGAGCAAGAAAGGTTTTGTGAGCACCACCAGGGCCAGTGTACAGACAGGGGTGTATCACTGGCTTGCCAGATTCAAGGGTCTGCTTGTATCCAAGGTAAGGTCTGTTGATGCTGGCATTGGGGGCATGTGCATTACTCTTTTAATGTTGCTTTGAAGAGAGTTATTTATACCTGAGATAGGTAATTTCTGAAGAAGGTTCTCTTATAATCCTTGAAGCTGCATATGTGTAACAGTTTTGAAGACTCTGCAATTCAACATTTATGTTTTGAGTTGTGCTGAATGTACCTTGTATATATGCCGGACTGTTGCAGTTCAGTCTGTACTTCTATGAGGTACTCAGCAAGCAGGCAGTTCCCGTAGAGATGAAGAGCTGGGCCAGCAAGACAACAGACGACTTTATAGGAAAGTAAGTAGCAGGCACTTGAAATATATTAGGTGTGAAGGATACTGGTAGTTCTGTTAAGCCCTACCATCCCACTCACTGAATTCAATTCATCAGAAACGTGTGCACAGCTGATTGCTATTTCTGGCTCTGTATACAAGACAAATACACACAGTAATCTTAATCCCTGCATATAAGACAATGCCTAGCAAAAACAAATTATAACTGAATAGGTAAATAATCCTGTCTAGTATGTTTAATTGTAACTTTGATGTCTTTACTGACGAAGTCGTCCTCTCTGGTTTGCTCACGCAAAGCGATACAATGTCGTTTTCTTACCCTCTGAAAAATAGATTGATGAAAGTATAACCTGTAGATAAGCCAACCTCCTGCTACTGTCTATATGTGGTGTAGAATTCAGTGGTAAGGTGGTGTTATGTTATAAAATGGAATACAAGTTGTTAACTTGTTCATAGCTGTGCCTGTATAGGTACTCTCCACCCAAGTACAGAAAATAACCTGCTTCGTTTGTTTACCTGACTGCTATATAGGATGATATGATAAATTGCCCATGGTCATGTTTTTCACAGAATTACAAGTTTCCAGAAGAAATGTGACGCTCTCAATGTGTCCTTGGTGCTAGATAGTCATGGTTTGAAGGATACATACAAGGGACCTGGCTACCACCACCCCAATAGGATTACAGAGGCCCCCGAGGGACTGAACACCTTCCCTGCCATACTGTCTATACCGGGGGTGAGACTAAGGAATCTTACTCCCTGGTGCTACAAGCAACTATTTCAATTCACCTTTTATACACTACTTGATATACCTATTTCAACATCCAGTAGATGGCAGATATGACATTTTGTGTTCTGGGTAATGTCATCAAAGTTAATGATGTGATACTAATGAGGTTTATGTGTTTATCAGTTTTACACCGGTGACCTTGAACTTACAGAGTTGTGTTACATTTGGTTCCAGGACCGCCCAGCCTCTCACTGGCCAAATGTAGTGATGATGATCAGCGACAAGAACACACCTGACCTTTCCAACCAGGACAAGATCAACTGCTTCTATGATAAGGTACATGGTGTTTCGTCCTACCTATGCCAATGTTCATTTTAAATCAATTACATAAATCTTTTGATGACAAAATCAAGGTAATGTATAATTTTTCTGGTTAATTTTTAAATGTTTTAATAGAAAGCATTTTGTCAATGTTTATGATTAGGGATGTGTTTTCATGTTTTGAATATCATTGCAACTCTCCATTCTCTAGAAATAAGGGATCTTGGCCATACAGTCTTACTTCGTCCGATGTTGATACAGACCATAAGCTATATGGTCTGTATCATGATCTGTCAGACTGCTTCAGTGGTAAGATGTCTGGTGGTGGTGTGTTGTCATTGCAGGAGGATGTGATAACCTTGAAATGCTGATGTTAGGTTTCTTGTTTGTTGTTGTAGAGAGCCCAGAGCACCTACTTCATCAGCAGGGTGGATCCTCGGATTTACTTGGTTGTGGTGTTTGAAACCAAGAAATCAGAAAAAGATTCATATGTGACAAATTTCATGAACGACTTGAGTTTACAACTTCGTTGCAGTAAGATTCTCAGCAGTTTAAAACCAGGATCCAAATAGTAGAAAACTATGGTCATCAATACACATGTGCTTGGGACTGTTGTCTGCTTCCAGTGATTACAAACACACCAAGAGCAAGACAGATATTTGTGAGTTTATTTCAACATATATTGTCATGGTCCTGTTCTAATTAACTGTGACAAGTGTCATCATTAGGTTGTCACACAGGTGCACCAAACCCTGGGACATGAAACACTGGTACAATCAAACATAGGTGCTATCCAATGTAATGGCAAACAGGAAAGGTTTGAGATTTGTTTGGCAAACGTACAATAATATATAAAACAGTTATGTTGTGTACATATGTTGTTATCTATAATTAAAGTATATGATCCCATGATTGTTTGTGTTCCATTTGTTCTGACAATTGCTGACAGCTGGAGAACATATGTTGTATGTAGTGTGTTCAGGAACTGCTAGATGCAGATCACATTGTTCATGTCCAGATCAACTGATGAATAGCAGGACATAATCAGGACACAAGACAAGTCAGACAGTAGGACCACCATATTGCCATGTAGTACCATGCATGCTTCGATTGATTTGTTTTATGCCACTGTCACAAATATTAAGATAATATTAGAATGGCATATTCATTCTTAGACTTGTCAATGCAAGCCAGTGGTTGAAAGCTTTAGCAGAATTCCATCACCTTTTCCCCATGTTAATGACTCCCTACAAGTGTGAGGTAAATCAGTGACAGGCGTCAAGCATTATTGATAGTATACCTACAATACTAATTCAAGGTAAGAAAATTGATGTTCATGTTGTGGTCAATTGAAAGATCACAAAAAACATGACAGGTTCAGGAATGAATGCATCCAGTTGGCAAGTCAGCACTGTTATTGTTCAAATAGGATGTCTTCAGTAGGAGGTAATGATTGTAGCTGCATCTCTGTGGCTAAGTTTCGAATCTTTTCTGCGATTTTAGTTGTGTTTCTCTCCCTCCACTTAATTACCTTATAGCAGAAATAAAACAAAGTAACAACGTTTACAACAAAGCAAGCAAAAGCCAAGAAGGTGTCCAACACTTCCATGGCCTTTCCAAGGTCGTTGAGAGACAGCCATGTCTCTTTGTGACTGGGAAGTAATGAACTATTCGTTATTAAGCCTGGGACGATCACCAGTGGGTTCTTTCCACTGGACACGGAGTCCACTACCGTGGTGAAAATCTTCTGTAGGTCCTTGATACTGCTGATGAGTATCCATGCGGGCAGAATAGTCAGAAAAGCATCCTCCACAACTCGCCATATCTTACCTCCACAACACAGTAGTAGGAAGGATTGCATTGTACACAGCGGTTCCTCAGGCTCTAGAATCAAGTCACTGAAGGCACATAAGGTCGGTTTACTTAGTGCTATAAGGTTGGTATCTTTCGAAACGATGTATACGTTGGGATACTTGCCCCTTCCCAGAAACACGTCTCTCGTGGCCTTGATGGAGTTGTTGTCGTAGCAGTCCCGCACCAGTTTGATGGAGAAGGTGGCAAGACCTGCCGCCAGCGCCAGACTAGCTCCCACCACGCCGATGTGAGAGGACTCAGTGAAGTCTTTGAAGGTCCAGCCTGACCCAAACAGAACAAAACCACTACCAGTCATACCAAAGACCGAGAAAATGATTCGGAGGATGTTCAGGGTCCGGTGTTTTTTATCAAGTTTGTCAGCAATTTTGTTTAAACTGCTCTTGAAACCCTCGGGCTCCATCTTGTGACTTGGTTTTAACTGGAAGAAAAACACTTTGATATAGAAGTGTTGGAAATTCCTACGTTCTAAGAATCATTGCATGTCTATTCTGAAACCAAGGATACTGACACCAGAGGAAGGTTGCACTCGTTCGCAGAAAGAAGGAGTCGTAAATATAATTGTTACAGTTTTCTAAAACTAATCTCTCTCTCTCTCTCTCTCTCTCTCTCTCTCTCTCTCTCTCTCTCTCTCTCTCTCTCTCTCTCTCTCTCTCTCTCTCTCTCTCTCTCTCTCTCTCTCTCTCTCTCTCTCTCTCTCTCTCTCTCTCTCTCTCTCTCTCTCTCTATATATATATATATGTATGATGTATACAAATCACATACTCACACGACTTTCTGTACGATCTGCAGGACACTAAGGTTTATTGCTCAACTGGAGTCGAATCATGTTTACCTTTAAATCACATTTTATACACGTTAGATGTCCCTGCATACCTGTGGCCCACCAGGGTAAATGGTGGTGTTTGTTGTGAGAGCATAGTACTCCTCTCCTTTACAGACGTACCCAACATTATGTGTCTGAATATGTTGTCACTTTCAATTCAGTGTTGTAGGCGCTGTACAAAACATGTCCGCGTCGGCATTTGTAGACGTCATGTTATCATTGTTATGTTTGATATATGTTATTTCTCCAGTGACTCGCCTTTGAATTACAAAGGACCTGTTCGGCGAAATCCTTCGCAATATATTGCCTAACATTCCTAGGCTGTGGATATTAACAGAATGTCTGAGACAACAGTTCGAGATATCAGCACCATCTATATTTCACTACCCTGTTGTTTCATGTGTCTCCTGTGATAATGAGCCGGATGGGACACACCCACGCAACCTGACTTTTTGGTTGCCGCTGAATAAATGGTAGTCTGTAAATGCAGTTTTCATTGCCACACAATTAGCGTCGTCTTCCAACAAATATTCCCATTAGAGTAGGTGAGTTTTACGCCGCACACGGTAATATTCCAGCTATATGGCAGCTGTCTGTAAATAATCGAATCTAGAGCAGATAATTCAGTGATCAACAGCATGAGCATCGATCTACGCAATTGGGATACGATGACAGTTGTTTATTTTACATAACGTTGTCGGAATTGTGGCTGCCCGACTGACCAAGGGTCGATAATGTCCCTCTACTGGCACATTCCGGACTTCACGTAATCCCGTGCTGTGACTACACAGGCGGTATAGACTCCATCACGGGGACAGCAACTCCACCCACGGCCGAATGACTTATCCACTGTTGAAGTTCTAATCCAAGCTTCAAAGTACATGTAAATACAACCTAGTGCTGAATCCAGCTCAGGTGCCCGAATAGATGAATATATAAAATAATGTTTTTACGATATGTGTCAAGTATCAAGGGAAAAATTGTCCATACCATGACCTAATGCAGATGAATTGCACGAGAATCATGCATCAAATTGCTGAAAGCATGTACAAATATCGTACATGTGAACAGCTGCGTGTTGTTGTAAAGTTTTGTTAAGAATTCGCAAAATTTCACCGAGTTTCATCATTTATTGAACTCATGATAATAATCTTTTCAACGTAACGAATTTGTTTTACAATGCATCAGTTCGTGTGTAAACAGTACCTTTAAACGGTATGGAATATTTTGCAAAATTTAGTTTAGAACAGTTGACTGAAGTAAGTGGCTATATTTACATTAGTGAGTCTAAACTTTTGATGGGTAGTATACATTACGTTAAACTGTGTAGTTGAGAAGGACCTGAGCATGTGTCATGCCTGCAACAAGCTGGACAAGACTAAGTAAGAATTGTAATAATGGTGTTGTAAGAATAATGTGTCCACTTGGTACTTGTAATCTCCACACTTATATTGTCCTTTATTGAATCGATCATCACACTAACAACACTCCACCCTGGGTAATTTCATTGTGAATCAACCTAAACGGATACACAATGGCGTTTAGCGAAGGTGGTGGGGGGCCAATTATCCGAGCTGTGAGGTGTTGGTTAAGTTAGGCTCATGAAAGTATACATGGGGGAGGAGGTGCGGAAGGGGAGTTGTCATTGTCGGGGTAAGTTCTGCCTTCGTACTAAAGAAAGAAATATCTTGCCAAGAATGCACTATATCTTATTTCATAATATTAACATATACCCAATCCCGGTAATTATGATTTCGCCGAGCTCCCCATGTCTGAGAGTGAACATTGTATAATTAACAACTGGGAGAGTTCATCACACCAACTTCTAAATGCCACTCAAAGAAGTTATTGTATAGTTACTTGTAATATTACTTCACCAAGTACCCGTGAAGGTCCGGGTTAGAATGAGCCTTCAGTAACCCATGCTTGTAAGAGGCGACTAACGGGATCGGGTGGTCAGGCTCGCTGACTTTGTTGACACATGTCATCGGTTCCCAATTGCGCAGATCGATGCTCATGCTGTTGATCACTGGATTGTCTGCTCCAGACTCGATTATTTACAGACCGCCGCCATATAGCTGGAATATTGCTGAGTGCGGCGTACAACTAAACTCACTCACTCACTTCACCAAGTGTTAGATGCAGGTAGATACATACAATGTATAAGCATGTGTTGCATAAACCCTCATGTTGACTACATACCTGCCTGGCTGAAGCTCCGGTTGTCGTGATCTGAGGACCAGGTGAGATCTACACGGAATTCCCCTTTAATTAACAATCTCCATTAATATTTTACGACATTGGCCGGATACTGTTCTGCAAATAGTCACATTGGAAACCGGTTTCTCAGCCGTCATAGCCACCGAAGTTACTCGACAGAATAAGACCGACACGACCGAGATCAGACAACGTTTTTTTCCGTGTTTCTTCAGTCTGTGCTACCTTCTGCTTCTTGTATACATATGAGGGTATCATAAATAGGTCTGGCCGACTTTCGTGTTAGAAGAAGAAGAAGAAGAAGAAAATATTTTTATTTGTGTGTCACATGTTATATATAAAACACATAGACACTTTAAAACACTCAGTAAAATATAACAGCCTGCCATATGACCTATGACACACAAGACACTACATTATACCTAAAACAGATAGTAGTGAATAAAATATCACAGCTTTGTAAGCAACAGTGGAGTGTGGTATATTTAATTTCATAACTACAAAGTGCGTTTACGTATAGTTAAGAAGAAGAAAGAAGAAACTATTTTTATTTGTGTGTCACATGTTATATATAACACAAACATAGACACTTTAAATCACTCAAAAAATATATATATTTTATATAACATTCGATAAGATATACCAGTCACGCCCGGAACACGCCCACACGCTACAGTCACGTCTTTTATCTGCGGCCAATCATGTTTTATCAGGATTTTACTTTTTAGCGGACGTTGAGAAATTAATACTCCTCTCTAGCTGTGAACACCCTTTAAAATATGTCCCAGAAGCTGCTGTAATATGCTTGTATTGCGTCAAAAATATTTGTATAAATAATGTATATTTTTATACTCATATCATCGTCTAACTATTTAACGCATATTCATTTCATACAGTATTTCAATACTCATTCTATGATGTACATTTTATGTTCTATATCTCGTCTCTCATAACTCCATATAGGAGTGGCATATATACTTTTACTTACTGTGTA